GTTGATCACTGAAAATTTTCTTCCTTTTCCACTCTCGCCAGATGTGGATGAGTGTGAGACAAACCCATGCTCTCACGGCTGTTTGAACACATACGGCTCATTCATGTGTACCTGTGACGAGGGCTTCGAGCTCGCCTCTGATGGGACCACCTGCAATGGTAATCAGGGGAGGAGAAGAGATGCTTAGAATAGAGAAAGATAGGGGGCTGAGAACAGGAAGGTCCCAATTTAGAGGTTTTAGAGAGGTTTAAGATGTTTGTTGCCTGAATTTTTATGTGTGACTGCGTGCATTGATAGTGTGTAATGTGTCTGTCTTTATCACTACCCATTCTCAGATCTGGATGAGTGCAGTTTCTCAGACTTCCTTTGTCAGCACACGTGTGTGAACACACCAGGATCATTCTCCTGCGTGTGTCCGCCTGGATATTACGTGTATGAAGATGGAAGGAGCTGTGAAGGTATCACAGGTTTATGTGAAGGAGCTGTGAAGGTATCACAGGTTTATGTGAAGGAGCTGTGAAGGTTTATGTGCTTCTTTCAATGTGATTTTGTTGAATCATTTATATTTTTCTAAATGTTCTTTCCACCTTCTAGGTGCATTTCTCCTTGTTGTGACACAAATGTGGAATATTTCTCAATTTAAACCACTAAAACAAAATTATGTTTCACATTTTTGTGACAAGTGCAGTTTTACAGAGAGACAAATATTTTTGTGTTTTTTTTGTGTTTTGTGATGCTATAGCAATGATTTGCATTGTTTTCCTTCGGTATGCATAATATGCATTATGAGTATAGTAATATACTTTTTTTAATAAAATCAAGAAAAATGCAGTTTCATAGCGAGCCAAATATTTATTTTTGCTATTGGCATTAGCCATTTGCAGAATTTTCGGACCTTAAAAACAAGAATATTTCACATCTGCTGCACCATTTAGCTCCCTTTACATTGATGTTGTTGTTATTGTTGCTGTTAATGATCATGAATCATGATGATGATGATAACCCTACTTCTGTCTGTTGTGTGTTTGATTTTCAAGACCTCAATGAATGTGAGTCTGGTAACAACACCTGTACAACAGCACAAGTGTGTTTCAATTTCCAGGGAGGTTACACATGTCTGGGCCCTCTTAGATGTGTACCACCTTACATAGAGCTCAGTGACAAGTGAGTTCATGAATGTTGGCAAAAGAAAACGTTTGCTTTAGTCAGTAATTTGACTTACTGCTTTTTGTTGCAGTTGCAGCGTGTTCTGAATATATTTCTCTCTTTCTCTCTCAGTCAGTGCATGTGTTCTGCGGAGAATCCCGCATGTTGGGAAAGACCCTTTACTGTCTTGTACAGGCATATGGATTTGTCTTCTGGCCGCAGTGTTCCTGCCGATATATTTCAAATGCAGGCCACCACTCGTTACCCTGGAGCATTTTACATCTTTCAGATCAAGTCTGGCAACGAGGGGCGAGAGTTTTACATGCGGGTAAATGTGCTTCTCTTTGTATAACTGATGCCTGTTGTAAAACACTTACATTACTGTTCAAAAGTTTAGGGTCAACAATTTTTTAAAAAGAAATTAACACTTCTATCCAGCAAGGATGCAACCGTTTGATCAGAAGTGACAGTAAAGGCATTTATAATGTTACAAAATATTTTGAACTTGCTATTCATCAAAGAATCCTGACAAAATTCACGCTTTCCAAGCACAACTGTTTTGATTGAGATAATAAGAAATGTTTCTTGAGCACCAAATTGATAATAAGAAGAAATGTTTCTTGAGCACCAAATCAGCATATTAGAATGATTTCTGAAGGATCATGTGACACTGAAGACTGAAGTAATGGCTGCTGAAAATTCAGCTTTGCCATCACAAGAATAAAATATATTCAAATAGAACACTTATTTAAAATTTTAAGAATATTTTACAATGTTACTGTATTTTTCATCAACTAAATGCAGCCATGGTGACTATTAGAGACTTCTTTCAAAAACAATTAAAACATCTTACAGACAGGATGCTTTTGAATGTTAGTTTATATATAAAGGTGACCACTAGAGGGAGCTGTAGGATTTCTGTGAGCTTGGTAAAATGACTGGAGCCAAACCACAAAATCTTTATGGGTCCTAGGAGTCCCTTAGCTAATCAAATTAAAATATATTCAAATAGAACACTTATTTAAAATGTTAAGAATATTTTACAATGTTACTGTATTTTTCATCAACTAAATGCAGCCATGGTGACTATTAGAGACTTATTTCAAAAACAATTAAAACATCTTACAGACAGGATGCTTTTGAATGTTAGTTTATATATAAAGGTGACCACTAGAGGGAGCTGTAGGATTTCTGTGAGACTTTCCTTCAAAATTACTCTGAAGCCAAACCACAACATCTCTAGTGGTCCTAGGAGTCCCTTAGCTAATCAAATACCATTTGAAATTGTTGCAAGAGTTTGTTTTCATATAATTTGCCCAAGTGTGTGAAAGCAGTGTTTCAACTCTGAAGAGAAAGAGTAACTCAGAATTAATTAATAAAATATGAAAACATTCTTTCAATTTTTTTTCCACAGCAAACCAGTAATATCAGTGCAACTTTGGTTCTGGCTCGGCCCATTAAAGGACCAAAGACCATCGTTCTAGATCTAGAGATGGTTACCGTTAACAACGTCATAAACTTCCGAGGCAGTTCAATCATCCGCCTCACAATATTTGTCTCTGAACATCCATTCTGAGGCTTTACAAATGAAGCTCTGACCTCTCACCTCTTCATGGCCCCATACCTCTATCTTGGACTTCCTGTTACTGCATTACCCGTCAGGCAGCTGCATTTCTTCATTTTGTTTGTTCTGTGGATCTGGACTCTCGTGTGGTCATCACCCACTCTATCTGCTCTCTAGTGGGCAGAGCTTGTGCTAATGTTTGACATTTCGTAATAAAGATTTTTGATTAGGCTGCCTGGCTGTCATTGTCATCTGCAGTCACACGCATGTACCCGTACAAAAAAGAAGAATATTTATGTTGTGTTTTTCTTGTTTGTTTTACATTTCCCAATGTGATTTTTCTTGCCACAATTGCAGATCCTGAAGTGTCTTGTATTTTTGTGAAGCTGGATTTGTTTTTCTACTTTTAGTGGCACCTGTGTCACATGTTCTCACTGTGAATGTGAGTATTTGAATGCCGCTTTCATTTGTTCTTGACCTTTTATGACCCCAAGCAGTGAGAGAGCTGCCAGGCTTGCACATGCTACAAAATCACGTTTTTTAAAATGTTCTACATAACTTTGACAGGAGTCTGCAGCGCACCTCCAGCACCCATTTTCCAGGGAAATCTTTAAAAAAAAAAAGTCTGTTTTGGCTCAGAATTTCTTATTGCATCTGTGCAGAATTTCCTCTGTGTATCTGTTTTTATTTGACAGGTAAAGAGCCTGGTCAATCAATAAACACAAATTTGATGACCTGAACTTTTGTTGGTTTGTGTTTACTTTTAGCAAATTTAGTCTCATGTCTAGAAAGTTGGGCATTAGTGATTATAATTAACAATAAGGTGTTTAATAAAATGAGACGATTATTATAATAAGGACCTGAATTTTGATGTAGGCCTACATAGTAGTTATCAAGGGGTCAATAACAACAGGGTTTTGAATGTGTAAAGATTTGAGGAATTAATATACATATTATGCGTGTGACTGACTGAGTAGGAGTGAAAATTTCGTTCGAGACACAGTGATCAAAAGAGTGGTATTTGTCCTCAGCAGCGTTATTAGGGACCGGCGGACACTAGGACCCAACCGTAGGCAGAAGTTTTGCTGCTCACTGGGGGCTTCAGACGCACCTGCTGCACTCGCGAGCTCAGAGATTTCAGCTCCTCGCGGACAGCAGCACAGGTACTTACAACCTTATTCACAAACATGATGTTCTTTGTAAAAAAATAAAAAAAAAGCGGTTAATCATAATTGTTGAAATAATTATAACCGTATTATATATCCTATTTAGCTTATATGTATTTCTGCAACTTTGGGCTACCGCGGGCACTTTTATGCCTCAGCTTTTTTTCCCTGTTGTTAAATGCCTTTACCATTTATTTTTGCTAATTTTCAGATGTCTTTGATGTGTAGATTGTAATGTTTTACCGTTATCCCAGACACAACTTTCAATCTTACGAGTAGGAGTGAAAATTTCGTTCGAGACAGTGATCAAAAGAGTGGTATTTGTCCTCAGCAGCGTTATTAGGGACCGGTGGACACTAGGACCCAACCGTAGGCAGAAGTTTTGCTGCTCACTGGGGGCTTCAGACGCACCTGCTGCACTCGCGAGCTCAGAGATTTCAGCTCCTCGCGGACAGCAGCACAGGTACTTACAACCTTATTCACAAACATGATGTTCTTTGTAAAAAAATAAAAAAAAAGCGGTTAATCATAATTGTTGAAATAATTATAACCGTATTATATATCCTATTTAGCTTATATGTATTTCTGCAACTTTGGGCTACCGCGGGCACTTTTATGCCTCAGCTTTTTTTCCCTGTTGTTAAATGCCTTTACCATTTATTTTTGCTAATTTTCAGATGTCTTTGATGTGTAGATTGTAATGTTTTACCGTTATCCCAGACACAACTTTCAATCTTACCACGAAAATTCATTATAAAACAGAATTATTACATGATTAAAACGATGATAATCTAAAGTGAAATAAATTATTTAGTGACATTTATTGTGTGAAAATTATTTAGCTCATATTTTCAGTCATTTTGAAAGTGCCTTAGTTGTGGCCTCATTTCCACTACAGCAACCAATGTTGCCATTTTTTTCTCTCAAAAATGTATTTATTTCCACCACAAAATTACACACAAAGCATAAGCTGACGTGATGATATTGACATTGTGTTGGGAATGTTTGTGACTAGAAAAGATAGAATTCTGTCCACTGTAGTACAGTTTCATGTTAATTCATATAAATATCTTATTTTCAGTCTTTTTATGTGATTGGTTTGTGATTTTTGTAAAGATCATCAACATGACAGAATGTATCAAAGACTGCTGCAGGACATTTATGTCCAAGAAGAACGAGCCAGAGATTCAGAGTAAGTCTCTCTCTCTCTCCCTTTTACCTCCTCATTATTGTTGTTTTCATTATGCGTACACACATATACTGTAGCCTATATAAATATAACCTCATATATGAATCAGAAAAGATGTATTTGTATACATTTAAATGTTTTATAGTGATTAAGGTTCGACCTCCTGGTAAATTAACTGCTGAGTCTAATGTGAAGAGGAATGTTGGAGTATCAGAGGATTATCTGCTGTCTAAACTGCCTCCGGATGGCCGGGAGGTTCCATTCGTTGTCCCAAACTTCAAACCTTCCTATATCCAGCCGAGAGGAGCACAGTACTCTGGCTACAACATTGGGCAACAGAGTAAGCAATATGACTATAGTTATTTATTTAGTTAAATTTAATTAAAAAGTAAAATTTGTATGTTATTTTTATTCAATTCTATTTGTTTAAGTACATATTTAAGTACAAGTTTGATACGATGGGTTTTAGGTGCCACAAGGACCACTTATGCAGAAAGGAAGGCAGAACTCGCAGGAGCCGGTCAAATGATGTATGACCCTGATTTGACCTTAAACAGCAGTCATATGATCAGCTACGTGTCACCAGGCTCACTGAGACGCCCCACTCTGAAAATCAGACCCAACAGCAGTCCTGGCACAGGTGAGACACCTTTAGACCTTTTATTACCTTAAAGAGTGCAATTTCACTTCCTCATAGCATCACTCAGTACGTAACTTCTCAGCATGTAACCTCAAATATTTACATTCCTAACCACCTGTGCATAATCCTTCTGTTTTATTCCTGCTCTTAAATCCCCAATTGTTCATGGCAAATTTGCACTGACAATGTCCCAGATCATATTGTTGAGAGGCCACATTCAGATCATTTGAATGCTTTACATAGTTGTTTTCTTTCTAAGAGTAAAATCAATTAAATTATTTATGTCTGTTTGTTTCACAGGTTTGGAACACAGTGACAAACAGAGACTCAGTCTTTCCATGTATGATCTGTCAAACACTCAGGGCCACGTACAGGTGAGTTCACACAGAAATGCACACACACACACACACACACACACACACACACACAACAACCCAATCCATAAAACTTCATCGTGATTAAAACTACATCATTCACATACTGCTGAGATCCCATACACCTGTTCACATGTAAGCTATTATTATATGATGTATATAAAGAAATGTAATATATCCCTGTGATGGCATTTCCTGCTGTCATTATTCCAGTCTTCAGTGTCAAATGACCCTTCAAAAATCATTCTAATATGTTAATTTGGTGCTCAAGAAACTTTTCTTATTAACAATAGTGAATATGATTGCGTTGCTTAATATATTTGTGTAAACATGATACCGTTTTTTTAAGGATTTTTTATGAATAGAAAGTTCAACATTTTGATTAATTTCTTTGTATTAATTGTTTTCATTTCTTTAAAAAGTCCTAACGATTGTGATTGCGGTAGTGTATATCATAGAGGAATATAATAATTAGTCAACATTATGATTTTTATTTATCATTATTTATATAAACACTATACTTTTTCAGAGCAAACTGCACTTCAAGAGTAGCTCGGTCATCAACTTTGAAAATGAAGGCAAGATATATGAATAATATATTAATAAGATATATTAATAAAATATTAATAATATTGCCTTTGTTACGGGAATAATTCATATTTATCTCAATTAATATTTATCTTCGTTAATAATTAATAACTTTAGTTATCATACTACTTCCATGCACTGTTAGTATGTCAGAAATCATCATCACTATTGGGAAGTCTATGAATTGCAAATTGTTTATGGTGCTGTTCAATTTGGTGAGGTTTTTTATTTTATTTTATTTTATTTTTCAAGTTAAATAAAAAGTTTGTGGTCTTGTTTCAATCAAGATCAGATTAAATTCCTTATTGAAGTGTGGTGTATATACATTAATTCTTTACTGTTTAATGATTAGCAGTGGTGTTGTTCAGTAACATTTATTCCTCTCGTTCCTCCAAGCGGTATGATTCTGTATCCAGTGTCCAGAGCAGCACATCCTCCATTCAGGAATCCTTTGGGAGCAGCCGTAGTCTAGGTAACCATTCATGATGGAACACTGAAATCGTATCCGCAGGCAAGCGCATTCCAAAAGAACCCTCAAAGTTCCCTTCCAATAGAACTTTCTGGAAAGGGTTCCGCTCCAGTGTTACCTGGAATTTCCACTACAGTTTCATTTGTTTGGTTTTCCTTATTTTATTTAATTTTTTTCAGGGGTCTTTTTGGACCGTTTATTTCCCAGCAATCTTAACCCCCTCTCTTCACCCTGTACACACTTAAACACAGACTCTCAAACAAACTTGCGCGCACACACACACACAGGACAGACTCAGATCATTGCAGATTGTGAAATCATAAAGAGCAGACAGTAATTACTTTCAAATGTTTTCCCTGAGGTCCAGTACACAAGTCCTCAGATAACTCTCAGAATGTAGAGAGGATCTTTACATAACACAAACAATACACTGAAAATATAAATCAGTATATTTCATTTTCTGTCTACCAGTATGTTTTATAAGGTGGAGTTCAAACATCTGAGACCACTAGAGAAATGCTTCTATTTTGCATTTTTCTAATTTAATTGAATGTGTTTTTAATTAACACTGAGCAAAACACACACACAGGACAGACTCAGATCATTGCAGATTGTGAAATCGTAAAGAGCAGACAGTAATTACTTCCAAATGTTTTCCCTGAGGTCCAGTACACAAGTCCTCAGATAACTCTCAGAATGTAGAGAGGATCTTTACATAACACAAACAATACACTGAAAATATAAATCAGTATATTTCATTTTCTGTCTACCAGTATGTTTTATAAGGTGGAGTTCAAACATCTGAGACCACTAGAGAAATGCTTCTATTTTGCATTTTTCTAATTTAATTGAATGTGTTTTTAATTAACACTGAGCAAACAGTTGGATTACAGATTTGGTTTGTCCCTCTTTTTCTTTCTTAACAACAGCACTTAAGCTGAATATTAAATATTAAACAGAATATTATATATAAAACATTTATATGTGTTTGCGTGGATGTGTGCGTAGAGTCCATCACACTGTCTGGCGATGAGCGAGATTGTGAGCCAGGAAAAGTGTGTGTGCACCTGAAGTATGAAGAGGCAGTGGAGCAGGTGTGGATCACCTTAGTGAAGGTATGATTTCATCTCTACAACAGACCATTGTGTCCCATCTAGAGTCCAGATGAATGGAGCCTCTGTGTTGCTCTGAGAGACCTTTAACAAATGTTCGCATTTCCAACCAGCTATTTTTAATCTCTCTTTTTCAAATAATTGAAATATGTGTATATCTGTCTGTCTTTGCCTCTTTATTTTACACATAATATACACATAATATATTATTGTTAATTTAATGCTAATTTATATTGACATTATTTACTATATGTTCGGATATGACCAGATGCGGTTGTATCTCAGAGTTGTTTATAATATTAACAGACTGTCTGATCTCATATTTCATAATATTTTTGTTTTATTTCTGTCAATTATTTTCTAATATAAACAAGGCCCTTCCTCCTCTGAGAAAATGCCCTTTGTTGACATACAGTGGTTTTAGTGGTTGTAAAAGCTCATAAACAGGACATGTTGCTTTTGTCTTTTCTCACTGTTTCTCATTTTATCTCTCTTTTTGCTACTTCCTCTCTTTTAGTGTACAGATTTGAGTGTGTATACTGACGGGGTGGAGGTGCAGAAGATTGGGGTCAAAGGGGTCATCACCATGACCAAGCCAGTGCGATTTAAGAGCACCGTCAAGGAAGCATCAGCAGTGAGTGAAATCCAGCCATCATAAAACTACAATGCCCAAGATTCAATTCAAGCTTCATCATTGTTAATATCAAGGGGTTAAAATGATTAGCATTATCCACTGCTGGTAGATACCAGAATTACACCATCTGCTTCTGAAAGTTGCCTTTCTACTTTGGCAGCCATTTAAAATTAGCCATGTATTCTGAGGAAATAAAATATTTTGCAAGCAACATACACTACTATTTAAAAGTTTGGGGTCATTAAGATTTTAGTTTGAAAGAAATTAATACTTTTATTTAGATGGATGCTGGATGCTAATAAATTTATCAGGATTAGGATGCTGATAAATTTATCAAAAGTTTCAGTAAAGAAATTTATGTTACAAAAGATTTCAGTTTCAAATAAATGTTTTGAATCTTTTAGTAATCATAGAATCCTGAAAAAAATGTATCACAGTTTCCACTGTTTTTAACATTGTTAAACATTATATATATATATATATATATATATACTGTATATAAATGTAACATTTTTGCTGTATCTCTAGTCAAATAAATGCAGGCTTGATGAGCTTAAGAGTCTTCTTTCAAAAACATTTTTAAAAATCTTAACAAACCCAAACATATGAACCATATATCACAGTTTTTCCCATTACGATGAATGGAAATAACATTTTCCTGGAATCATAGACCTTGGTGATCAATATAACAAGAAAAGCTTATTTAGAATGGTTGTTCTGTCATCATTCAAATTGATTGTGATGACTTATTCAGCCCTCCATTCAGTCCCTCATGTGTTTCTTGAATAATGACCGTTCCAGCCGGACTGAAAAATGTCCAACACAACCAAAGTTGCATAAAAATCATACTTCCTCATATACGTAAAAGCATGTGTAGAGCTTGCAGTATTGGTTTGTTTTGCTTTTCTTTGCAGATTAAGTTTGTTACTAGTTATCCCTCTTAGTATATTGTCTCACTCTGTCTCGCTTTCAGGACACTGTCTTCATGGAGACATTTGTGTTCACTCTGAACTTAGAGCAGATACGCAGATCTGCACTGGTGCTGTGCCTGCAGGCTCACGCACCACGTAGGCGTACGCTGGGAGAGTGTGTATTATCTCTGCGAACCCTTGGACCACAGGAAACAAAGCACTGGCTGGAGTTCAAGCCTCACTCTAAAACACATGTGAGTCCTCACCTGTTGTATCCCTTTGTGACTGCATATCTAATCCCAACTGTCTCTCCCTCTCCAGATCCTTCCTGGTTTTGACAATAAGGTTATTAAAAAAAAAAAAAAAACATTTTAGCTGAAGTATTTGTATCAATACCATGTGCCTTTTACCCCGTGTGTGGGGTAAAAGGCCCCCCTTGCACCCTTTATCTCTGCGAACCCTTGGACCACAGGAAACAAAGCACTGGCTGGAGTTCAAGCCTCACTCTAAAACACATGTGAGTCCTCACCTGTTGTATCCCTTTGTGACTGCATATCTAATCCCAACTGTCTCTCCCTCTCCAGATCCTTCCTGGTTTTGACAATAAGGTTATTAAAAAAAAAAAAAAAACATTTAAACTTCCACCTGCAATTACCCACTGGACCACATATTTTACTTGCATCACAAATTACACAGCTGCACTAGTTCTGCTCAGGTCTCTCCTGTGATATTTAGGTCACTAGGGCTGAAACAGACAGACAGAGAGAGAGGAAGAAATCAATATACTGAAACCAGCCATTTCAATACGGCTGAAAACGCTTCTTGAAGGAATTAACTTGACCCTTAAAATACTGATCTGTCTGAAGCTCATATAATAATATAATGTTACGAAAGATTTCAATTAATCATTTGTAATTAATTAATAAATGTTGTTTACCTTGTTTTAACTTTCTATTCATTAAAGAATCCTGAAAAATGTTTAATAGTTTCCACAGAAAAATGAAGGATGTCTGTTTTCAACATTGATAAAAATAAGAAATGTTTCTTGAACACCAAATTGTCATGTTAGAATGATTTCTGAAGGATCATATGACACTGAAGACTGGAGTAATGGCTTTACCATCACAGGAAAAAAACATTAAATTTTAAAATATATTAAAATAGAAAACAGTTATGTCAAATTATAATAATATTTCAGAATATTACTGTTTTTACTGTATTTTTGATCATAGAAATGCTTTTAATGAGATTTTGTGTGAGTGTAGGTTCATAAAAGACAATTTCATTTATGTTTTATATGATTTGACAACTGTACTATGGCTTGATAACAGGTCATTTATTACTACCATTCTCCGAACCCAGAGGAAACACTATAAACAGACAAAGAATGTTTGTGTGGGTCTGAATGTTTGTGTTCCTTGAGCCCTCTGACTGTGCTGCTCCTTCAAAAGCCTGTCAAAGGTACTTCTACATCCGGGTGTGATTTAATTTACGTCATATCTTTCGGGATAACTGTTTGAACAGTGTTAATGGTTATTTCTGATGACACGCCCCCACCTGCAGCAAATCCCAGTAAAACAGCTGCTCTTTGTGTGTGAAAGTATTTGTCTAATGTCATATCCATAGCAACCGTACAATCAAATACAAAAAAATGGTCCATATATAAAATGATAAAAGAAAGAAAGAACCCCCCCTGCAAAAGTCAAGTATCAAGTGACAAAAAATAAATAATAAAATTAAGAAATGATAGGAAAAAAGTCGATATGGTAATCATTAAAGTTAACATGGCAGGAATGTTTCTCTCTCACGCGCGCACACACACATACACATACACAAACACAAACAGCTGTGACCATGGGGCCTGTGTACCTTTGTCCTGTGTGTTTCAATTAAAAGTGGATCAGCAGGTCCGGGATTTTAGCTTTGAGTCCAGGATCTGAAATCCTCACAAACTTCTTCAAACTAAGAATTGACTTATCTGCATCACCACACCACCTACACCTTCCCCCACCTGACCTATGTTTTCAAACTTTCATTAAGAGTTACAAGCATATGAAACATGAACTGCAGTCAGGGGATTTTTAATGGATCTGGTTTATGTTATGGAGCGGCATCGTTTTACCCCAAAACAACAGAAAACAAAAGTAAGCTGTGCAAATATTTCACAGAATCAGTTTTGAGTCGTCTGTTCCCAAATACTCAATTGCTGCGCGAGAGCACCATCTAGTGCACTACAGAAGGGAATGAACAATGTTTTTTTTTTTTTTTTTTGGTAACTGCGGTTTGGCCGTGTTCCCGCTGTAGTTTACCACCTGTACACAGTTCATGTAGGAACATGGCCGCTAATTTCTGAGCTTATGATCCACACATAGATTGTGTAAGAATGTCTCAGCATAGTCTCTATTCATGCCTGTTGGCAAATTCCAGTTTTATGTCAAAATTCGTGTGTGCGTCTGATTTGTAGTTTTGGTCTACTTTTCCTAACAGTCTGTATACAGACTTGTTTACATTAACAGTAACATTCAGAATTCTGTGATATTCTGATGAAACATTCAGAACTAGGCTGTACGATAACAGCTATGCTGACAATTACAAAAAAAAAAAAAAACTAACCTTGGTCTCCTCCATGTAGGCTACATAAATTAAATTAATAACATTTCTAATGATCTGAATTTAATCTAAACATTAAACATTATATAATGTAACCTACAATAGCGTCTTAATGTTAGTTGTTGTACTGTTACGGTTATTGCTTACAGTTTTGACCAGTGAAATAAAATTTGTACATGACTTTCAAAACGCTATTTCCATGAGCTGCATTGCCATAGCAACAAACAAACATCCGGTCAGTGAATTTCTGAATCTCACCTGAACTAGATCAATGACTCAGTCTGACTGCGTCTTGGTGACTCATGAAAGCAGCCCCCTTCAGGAAGTTCCCAACGGAGAGCTGTGTTCATTGTTTTAGATTTAATAGAATCACATTTGTTTGATTCTAGTTTAATGAAACTTTACGAGTTTTCTTGCTCAGTGTTGATTGTGTGCCCTAAAACCCGGGGGCGCCGATAGGAGGTGCGCGCAATGACTCACAGTACAAGGCAGCAAGCTATAAAACACCTCATGAAGCGCTCACCTGCTTATCGAGACTACAGCTAGACTGGTGAAGTGGGCTTAACATGGGCACTGAGTCAGAAAATAACAGCGTTCTTAAAGAGGGGTTTCTGGTGAAAAGGGTAAGAGACTGAACTTTTTTTTTATCCATACCCATACTGACAAATGAATTCATAATTGTTATTGTATTATTAACGCACGACGTTCATTTGTAGGGCCATGTTGTTCAAAATTGGAAAGCTCGTTGGTTTGTACTTAAACCTGACAGACTTCTGTATTATAAATATGAGGGCAGCAAACGGAATTCCTGCCATCGAGGGACCATACTGTTGAGCAACTCCAAAATCACATGTCCTTACCTGGAGTACGAAAACAGACCGGTAAGTGGTGTTTGATGTTATATATTTCCAACAAAATTTCGTAGCCACAAAAGCTACATGCACTAAATAGACACTCGCGAACATAAAAGTACAGTTCACTTATGAGGTAAGTAACCATAGCAACAATACGGTGGTATACGCGCGCGTTCTGTTTAGATCAAGGGCGGTAAGTCGACATAACAAAGTTAGTAATGTCATACTCAGTTTATTCTATAAGTACATACCACAAATTAGGTTTTAAAGCAGTTAATTTTTAATGGTAATGGTTATTGTTTAATGGTAATGGCTTTAATTTTTATTTATTGTAAATACTTTATATATTATTCATATAAATTTATAGTGCCGTTTTAGTTTTATAGTCCTCACTTGAGAGGATGTCTCAAGATATTGTAAGGTCAGTTGGTTATTTAGTCTACAGCTAGTTGTGAGAAGTGGCTCATCAGTGGTTTAGTTCAGATTACACCCTGAACACTGAACCAAACAGTGTCTCAGAAGAGCTGTAAATGTTCGCAGCCTCAGGTTATGCTTTATATGAATTAACATTTCATTATTTTGTCTTGCAGTGCTAACATGCGCTAGCATGTCAGTAACAGCTTTATTTCCCCCAGTAAATCTTTGAGATGTATTTGATTTATATTCCAAATTGTGTAACAGCAGTAATCAAAACCAGAGTGATGGAGTTTTATGTAGCATGTTAATTCATGTTTGTGCCAGTTTCATTTAAATAATAAAAAAAAAAAACAGTGCTGTGTTGTGCTTATCACTTACAGTTTTTCTGAATTGCTAAGACACTAAACCTCAATCTCTGAACCAAATTCTCATTAGCTTAAACCAATTTGTTGAATAAAGCACTCTTTCTGCTAAACCTTAAACACGTTCAGGCAGTTAGGCTCTATTTGCAAATCTCATGCACTCTTTTTGCAAAACTCTAAACACATTCTCTTGGCTTATCACACTGTGATGCATTTGCGCTGCAAAATGCTAAACACAAGCGGCAAAAGTTAAACACAACTAAAGCACAGTTGTCATCGTTTACACACAACGATTCAAAATTGTTCAC